ATCCTAAATCGGACAGAACAAAATTGTTTACGAGCAGTTTGAGCCCTGGTACTATTCCCTGAATGAGTGATACATCCTCTACGGTAAGTGCGATCGATACATGAATATCACATGCGGCATTGGAAAAATATCGAAAATAAAAAAAAAATTTCCTCCGTGCATCGCAACTCGTCCGATCCTTTTACGACTCTATCAGTTTCCTGTCAAAGCCGCAGCAGTTTACGTGGATTTACCTCGGTGGATCAAGCAAAGAGGAAGCAAGGAAAATATGCAAATTTATGTATGAGACAGAGTCACGTTACGCCATTGGCTCTCGTGGCAAGAAGTTCGTTATCAAGTTCGAAAGCCGCGCTATTTCGCATCGAGTTTCACTACGCTTACGCATCTACCGCCTGAGGCGACATTGATTTGCATATCGAGTGGCAGTCTCGCAGAATGGTCTACGCCGATACTAAACTAAGCTATTAGGAAACGCGGAAGCGCAAGCACGTTAACCCGCCATGCTATCAACAGCTTTATTGACATATAGAAGGATCCGCTTCCCGTGAAAACAAACACAGCAATCAGCTACTAGAAACGTGCGCATGCATGTTGCATCGATGCTAATTATACAATACCGAGACTCTGTATACGTATACGTATATAATATAGCAATAGGCAAAAGGTATCCTTGAACCAATCAAAATCTGAAATATAATCCCAGCAGTAAATAAACGCCATAACTTACTCAACTGACAATAACGAAATTCGTGTGATATGTACGCAAGAAAATCATTAGCCACGTCATGAGTTATCAGAAGAAAGTAAATTTAATTATCTATAATCAAAATCCACGAATCGCCGTCCAATAAGTCTCTCGCGGAAATCCTGCTCACAGATAATATTGCTGGCTCAGCCGTCGACTTGTCGCGACGCTAGGGCAGACAGTAGGATCACCCAAAAGGGTGGCTGGCCTGCGGCGTCGTTTACAATCGGTTTGAAAGCTAGAAAGCTCTGACTTCACGTTGTCAGCACGTAGACAATGCTGAATCAGTTCGTATTAGCTAAGTTCCGGAAAAAAAACGTTCTTCCCCTAATTCTTACGATACACACATCGAATCGTGTATCAATCATATACAGTATAGACATTTATCTCCCTAACGGATAAACGGATAAGCCAAGAATACCGTCCAATAATAAAAACCAAAATAACCAGGATAATAAATCGTATAAAATAACGCAAATAAATAGAGGATTTATCTTCTAATATGATGGTCACACCATTGCCCCTAGAGCGTCCCCCCTGCTTCACGTGTCTTCGTGCAAAGTTTGACGTTTCAATCCCCAACGAATTTATAACTCTCAGAACGTGACTTTTGAACCCTGTAACGCACAGAGAGGCTACCAGGAATATTTTTTTCACCTTAATCAAGAGATTTTGCGAATGTTGGAATAGCGTCATGGTCTTTCCATTGTCCGATCCTGTATGACGGGTCCGAGAGGGATATCCCCGAGGTCGGCATGAGCGAACGCTATACGGAATTGCTTGAGCGGAGTGCGAGGGTCCGTCCAACAGAAATTAAATTTGTCCCGTTGTGCGCGGTCACAATGAGCCGGATGAGGGGCTAGGGATTAGTGTCAACCGAATCCCATGTCCGCCGTCGCCATAGAGGCGCTGCTGACTCCACATTCACAAGGGTATTTTATTGTCCGACCCGACCAAAGTAACAAGGACGGCCATCATACAGAAGAACTGCTCCTGTGTCCTGGATATGGCGACATTGTCCGAGTTGACTGTTAACCCGCGCAAAATCATTGTGCAATATTTTCATCAGTGAGACTATCATAGTGGAGCGAGACGAGTGATAACACGTCGACTGATCATCGTTTGATCGAACGTTAACAAAGACCTCGTACGGAGGATACCTCATTGCTGAATCTCCACGTAGAACCTAACGGTAACTGAATTAATTCTGAAGGGCTCGTTACGTAAGTGAATTGTCCTCTGCTCATGCGATGCCAGAGCGAAACATAAAACGCGCTCAAACTGCAAAACCCGTGCCAAGAATTCTCTGCGAATTTTAGACGTACGCGAACACGTTTACCGAATCACTGGGCCCTTTTTGACCAGGAATTAAGATCCGCGGAACTTATTCTCTCTGTTACAAGATAGGAAATTCATTCCCACCGATATATCTGGGAATGATGTAGGTATCGCCTCCTGAATTTCCAATGGCTTTGTGGTACACTGAAGATTTACGGCTTTGAACAGTCGGTCGGTACGTTGACGTTGTACCGCAGCTTATTCTTGCGAGTTAAATGGCTCGTAATGCCGTGGATTAGAAAACCATAATTTGCATGCAGATCACGCGGGAACGGTAACTGAGCCTAAATAAGCCGGGACGACTGAACGGCCAGATGCGTCATCTCGGATGGCCGAAGTTATTCGTTACTGCGTGACTATAGGGCTATGTTGAGTAAAACGACGTCTACGGCATTTAATTCTTTCAATATGGATTTATATGTGATAACTGTTTTATGACTCTGTTGCGTGGACTCTTGGATTTTCAATAGGAATGAGTGACTGTAAAAGTAGTGCTGATAATGTGGTCAATTATTTTTAAGTATGCCAACTGACCTTCACGACACCTTTTAGAGGTAATTCGAAGTACGATCTTCGGCTATAAGTCGTGGGTCTGTAATAAATACAGTGTTAAATCGACCTATCGCTACCGTAATCGATGCTCCCCAGCCTCGGTAGTCTGTCTGCTACTTCGATAATTACGGATAATTGGAAGCTAGTACCGGACGTAGAGGCAATTAATGCTTGATTCTGGGACCAGAGCAACGGTTAAATATATAAGTAAAATATATATGTATGCGATCGAATATAGCTATGATTTAAAAAATCTGATGTAACCTGTAGTCTTTAACGAATCTGTTGCTGCAGATAAATCACAACGAGGAAATAAGTAACGAAATGGCAGTAGAATCCTTATTATGTCTAGAATTTACTCTAGTTGAACGTTTTATTCTACGTGCACATATATATATATGCCGACTCTTTGCCACGTGAATTAAATCTCTTTAACGTACTTCAAAGTGAAATCTATGTACACAGAGCTTATTACCCGCAAGAGTCAATGTGAACTGGTTTTTAGAGTCAAGCGAGGCGTATGAAATCAAAGGTTTGTTTGCAAGGATTATCACAAGAAAAAACCTGTAAAAAAAAGAAAGGGCCAGAAGCCAGAAGCTTACTGTTGCGAAAATTCAGGCCAACTGCAAAAATGCTAAAATCATTAGCGCGACGGATATACGCGATTCAATTTTAGACAATTTGCTACGTAGGTAACGAGTGAAATTAATTTTCATGAATCAAATCTACCGGGTGGACGGGAAGGAGGGAATTAAAAAATTTCACGAATGAAGAGTGCCAAGACTGGAAGTGAATAAATAAGGTCTTCCTAGGTACGTAGAACTTTCGTGCCTGCGGGCTTTATGAAATATTCCATTCAGGGTAATATTTAATGCCGAGTTCCTTGGTACATTTCTGCAGTAGTCAAAAGTGCAATTAGTCCTTCCTTCAAGCGTTCTATCCTTCCTTCCTTCCTTCCTTCCTTCCTTCCCCACTTCCCCGCCCTTCTTGCTTCCTTGGTTACCACTCCTCGCGCGACGAAAAACTTTTCTGCATCGCGAAGATCCGGACCCAGTCGGAAAGGAGCCTGCGGGAATTTGGCGAGTCCCGTCGGGAGACGAATTATTACGGTACTCAGCCATCACGTAAATGCACGCAAAAAGTTTAATTTCTCCTTCTACCAAATTAATTGGAACCATTATGCCCGAGCAGTAACTTACTTTCCTTCACAATTTAAGTAAAATTAGGATAATTATTTAGCACTCGCCGCTCGAGCGGCCGGCACCGACCTAGTGGATGCAGGATGAAAAATATCTTCTTAAGGAATTAGAGGGATGAGAATATCACCCCTATCTTCCTATATATCATTCCCCTCGTACCCCTAGCAACTCGAAAAAAAAATTACAACGGAAGTCACGTGCGTTTATCCAATTACGTTCTCGAAAAAAAAAAAAAAAAAGCGAGTGGTTCAAACGGGTTAATCTTGCAGAAGACAATGTAGTAATATCAAGTCGTAATTGACGTAACAGTACATATCGTATACGCGAGTGCAAAGGAGAACGAATTTTCGCTTCATCCAGTGTATCCAATTGTCGGGAAGAGTTAAGCATTCTTAACTATGCATGAGGGAAAATCGTGTTGCAGGAAATGGGAAATGCAGTTCGACAAGACAAGGATCGTCCGGGGTCAGCACTGAGCGACAGGTCAATAGGAGGAAACGTTCGCTCGAGCGAGTACATAACGTGTCCGAACCAATCCCCTCTGCCAGCGGACCGATTCGATAAACCCTTAATCCATCGGCAATTAGCTCGCACAGTGGCTACCACAATCCCACCCTTCTCGTTCAGTTCTATCCCGAACGTTCGCATCCACCCCACGGCTCTACCAGTTGGACGACTGTGACTGTATAATTAACTAGACTTCCGACAGCCACTGGGAAATTCTCTGCGTCGAGTGCAACGCGTGAGATTTCGAATCGTTCATACATGAGATACAGTGGGAAATCAGCCACGTGATATTTATGTATATGGAGGAATTTGCGCTCAACAACCTACACACAAAGTCCATATCCATACGAAGGACCCTAAATGCCCTTATTGGATTTCTACACGAATGACGTTTCAGAATGACGCTTGCAGTAGCAAGAACTTTAATTCTTAATCGTACGATGTCATGAATCAGAAGTTATGTTGCATTCGAAGTAATGGCGCACCATCTATACGAATATTCCATAATAGCAAAATAAGATAGGACGTATCATTGAAATCGTTATACGACGTTTCAAGGCTGCGATCCTATTACGATTCTAGATACGTATTTCCAAAGTATTGTTCGGTAACGGTGCACCGAGCTAAAGTGTAGCATTGATAATTGGAACGGGACTCACCGTGAAACGTCTTCTTGGGAAACGGCGCGCGGCGTCGTGGCGCCGTGGAGGGCGAGAGAGGACGCGTGACGCGACTCTTGCGAGTACGCCAACGAGTTGTTCTCCAGCGCTGAAACCGAACCATTTTGTTTACCTGTTGAAGAAAAAAAAAAAGGAAAATTAAAATTTGCTTGTGCTGTATGTATAGTAAAAAAAAAAAAGAAAGACATAATCAAGTCGACAGTAATTAAAGTATATCTTGCGTTCAGGCAGTGTAAAATGTTAATTTATAATTTCAACTGGCTGGTTCACGAGTTATATCCTTGGGGAGGCTCGAGAGAGAATTGACATTAATTTTGAATTTGTCATTTCGAGGAGAGTCGTTCTTAAGTAACACGCTTCTTCCCTATCGCGCCCCACTCATTCGGTAGCTCGCCATTTTATTAAACCGACAATTTGTTGAGATGTTCAGTAAGGTTATAAAATAAATACATGAATAATCTAGTTCGCAACCCGACGCCAGTTGCCGTCGTCATTTGGCAGCCAATTTGAATTCAACCACAATAACCGCACCACGTCGAAAGTAGATGCTAGCTGAGGGAGACTGTATACCATAGGGTAGCCTTCACTGGGATGGTTGGGGTGGCAACTTTATGATCTCTGCTTTATAACGCTAATGAATAAATTATATCGACCGGCCGTGAAAATACTGACAGCAAAAGAGGAGGCCCGATCAAAAATTCATTTTCTTCGTGACTGCGAAATTCTCGCGCTACATCAACCGTCCGGACCGTGTTTAGTTTTATAAATGAAAAAATAAGAGACAGATTAACGTACCACACAAAGGAGGGTTAGTACCCTTACGATAACCGATTATAGACATTTGGTTACGCAGCACGGACCAAGGTAATTCGAATTCATACGAAAGACAGTTTCGTCGTCTCACGGGATCAATCGAAAGAAATAGGAATTAAAGGCAACCCTATTATGGAACCCTACGGTGAAAAGCTAATGCATTCAATAGGATCCTTCAATGCAATTCAAATAGCAAAGAGTGACGCTCCGCGAAAAGAAGTAAAAGGAAAGAATTACTAAAGGACAGTAATATAAAATTCTTCTTTGTTTTACCGTAAGCTCAATCCTCGTTGGATTCGCGATTGCTCTATTAAAATGCCAAGTGAAGTTGTCGGACAAGACGAAAAAGGGTACATTAATAAATGACGCCAAAGCAAAAGAAAATGCAGGCGCGCTTCTCTCATGGGCACGTTTACCTCGACGAAGCCAATTACTCGCTTTGGCTTGTCAGTTGCAGACAGGGAGGACCTAATAGAATTTCAGGAGAACAGTGGTAGGGGCGCTAGACGCATGTCTAT